TGGTCTCAAGATCCCTTTTAAGATTATGGCTGTTGCTCGTATTTGAATGAACTGTGGTTCTTTTTCAGCGTTTTCGCTGGACGTACAGTGGTACTGTAGCAAGGGATGTAGCAAGGCACTTTTACGAAACTTACAAACTCAAGAGCCCTTTGTTTGTCTTCAACTGGACAGCCAGACATTCCCTCTGGATTTCAGCAAACTTTTTGAAATTATTCCTATGCGAGTTCAATCATCAGATACAAGTAATCAACAACGGTCTAACAACATATTACCCGTTAATTAATGAAACGTGCGTTCAGCCGCCCGATGAAGAGTTCGTGGCGTTTTCATTAGAAAGTGTCCTTTGAGTTTCCAGAAGTATTCGTGAAGTTAAATCAGATATAAGTAATCAACAACAAATCACCCGTTAATTAATGAAACGTGCGTTCAGCCAACCGATTCAGAGTTCGTGGCGCGTTCATGAGATGATGTCCTTTGAGTTTCCAGAAGTATCCTTGAAGTTAAATCATTTACACTATCAGTTATCTGTTGATTAGAAGTTGGAGGTTTTTTCTTTCCGTCTCTTGAATAAGCACAAAATTTACTTTTCTCCATGTATGTTTTTTTCAAGACGTCTTTCAAGGAAGCACTGGAGTACTCACCTACCCCACCCTCTCCCACTTTTTCCGAAACAATGAAGTCTAACAAAAGAGGGGGTTTCTTCTCAGCCTTCCCACTTCAAGTAAGTAGCCAGCCTTCCCCCTTTACCAATTGGAAAAAAAGCTCCGCCGTCCCTTTGTGGATCCCTGTATGCTATTGAGTGCACGTGTTTTAAACGCTTTTCGGCTGTAGCGTTTCTCCTGAGTGAAACCAAAATTCTAAAACTAAGTCCATCGAGCAAAATAATTATGGTCTCCTTGAAGAATGGTACAGTTCTACGCTCACCCAACTTAGGTGGATATGTAAGCAGTTTCAGTGCTATATAAGGTTAGATTAAAAACGTGACACTCTGCGTCATTTGATAACACAGTCATTTTCAAAAGATGAAGCCTTATTTAAGGATGTGAACATCAGCTAGTATTCTAGCCTGAAATTCATCCGATTGCTTCGAGTCGTTTTCTCCTCTCAACAACGACGTTACTGAGGGAGTAATAACGACTCGAAGTAATCGGATGAAATTCAGGCTACTAGTATTCTGGCATATTCTAATTTTTCTGTTCTATAAACACGATTTTCATATGTTAATAACATTCTTCCTGGGCCGGGTTGTTCAAAGCTGGGTTAAGATAACCCAGGGTTAGTGTGAAATTTGAATTCAGATATGAAGGATTAAAAAGAAAATTCACTTTAATTCTTTTTGTCAACAAGTTGATGATTGGATGCTCTTAGAATAACAGAGAAAATTATCCGAGAAAATGCTTTTGAACAAAAGAAAAAGAAACCCGGGTTAAATTTAACCCTGGGTTAAGCGCTAATCGACCTTCGAACAACTGGCCCAGAATAGTAAATCAGCATTTTGTGAACTTTCTGACAGTTTTTTCATCTTAATACTTACTTAATTAAAAATTATATTTAGACTCTAGTTTTTGCTGCTGCTCAGAGCCACTCAGCTCAGTTTCAGCTTTATCAATCACTTTAAAACTGATCTCGTTTTCAATGTCGAATAGTAAGGCTGTTACAATGGTTGGAAACTCAATAGTTCGTAATAAAGAGGCAAATCAGTTTAAGCGCCCGTCATTGTTGGTTGTACAATGCGGAATTCGAAATTCTTCATTCTGGGGGTTTGAATCACCTCGTTGATTCTATATTTAGATACAATCTGCATGCGCGTGCGCTTATTCGCCAGCTGGGAAAGAGTCCTTAATTGTGACGCGCATCTTTAGATTCACTTTTGCTAATGACGTTTTAAGGAAATCTTAAGAAGGAAAATCTTGACATTATACCATAATTGGAACTAATTATTCAGAAGAACAGCTTAAAACCTTTGATTTGGAATGAGTAATCGCTTACTGATTCGACCAAGTGTTCAAAAAAAGCACTCAAAAGTCAACTCCGGCTTCCTCCCAGCTGATTTGGCTGCCGCATACGCTTCCTACCATCATAATATGGCGGAGCAGAAGAAGCTGGAACTCAAGCTTTGGGGCATCGATATGGAGACCAAGCAAATGAAGCGTGACATTCGACAGCGCAAAGAGGTTCTCGAAAGGGAACTAAAAGAAAAGGAAGATGATTTTTGGGGCTGCCATCGAGTGTTCTCTGCTGCTACGTTGATTACTGAATCTGATTCTTTTAGAAAATGCTTCTACGCTGGACCTCAACCGACTAATGCCAAGCTACCACGCAGAAAGCTCGATAGGCTGAGTCATTTAGTGCGAAAGCTTCAAGCTGAAGACGACTTGGAAACTCTGTTAAGATTTCAGCGCTGTGCACGATACGCTACAAGGAGAGAGGACCGCCCGAAATCGGCTTTGAGTCTGACTTTTGATGAGGAAAGCGACATAACTGAAGCGGATTCTACATCGCAATGTCTTACAGAGGTCATAAATGCACCACGGATGGGCAGTATTGGAAGCATTAGTGGTGACACTTCAGGTCGAGTGAAAAGAATCCGGTCGGCGCCATTAAGGATCGCGTCTGAGAAGGAGGAGTTGAGACCTCGCAACCGCAGCCGGGGACGCAGTCTTTTTCCTCAGCATCCCTTGAAAAAAGCCCGTGGTGAAACTTTCTGTTATTCTAAAGAAGGTAGCCCTGAGATTGTTTTGCACTCTTATGATCGACAAAGATCTCCCATAAAAATGGCCTGGACTGAAGATGCACCCAGAGCAGAGAATAAAGTTCTTGGGAGTAATGAAATTCAAGCGAACAGTGGCGTGGATTCATCAAACAAAGATTCGTTGGACCCCACTGAAGAGAAAACGCAATGGCGCAGAGAAAGTAGAGTCAAACAGTCTCCGGAGATAGAAAGATTGGCCTCGTTTTCACCTGAACAACGATCGCAAGAAAGTAGCATGACGGATATACCTAACCTTTCCCGCTCTCAACGTCTGCCTCCAGAATCGAGCTCAGAACATCTGCAATCAGTCGGAAGCACCGCATCTACAGGGCAAGAGACAACTATCGACTCAGAACTACTCTCAGAGGATGGTCTAACAGCTAACAGTACGATGGGGGGAGAAGTAAGGCAAAGTAAAGCTGAAGATCGGTTTCAGCCAAAAGATTTGGTTCATAGATCTAAGCATGACGATGTTCGCGTCTCTTCAATTAAGGAAATAAAGCCTTCAGAATCTGATTTGCCAAGTGCACTTCAAAACGAGGAAGCTACTAACGTTTCTGATGAGGATCAAAGACTTAATAAGAGAGACACACTCCAGCTGGAATCAAGTGAGCAGTACACCTTTAGAATACTAGCTGAGCCACGATACAGTGAAACATCAGGAACAGAAAAGTTTGACCATACACATACACGAGGCGAAAAAAATGCAAGAGACGACTTCCACGTGACCGTTGAGAGAAGAGAGACGCATAATATAAAGAAAGCCAAAGCACAGCACAGACAAGGTGGTACTATGTCACCAAAAAGCAGCTTGCATGGCTTGTCAAGCCGACGAAATTCATTGGTTCCAAGGAATCACCATAAGAACTCGCAGCAACACACTTCTGGGTTTTCAAAAGTAAAGAAGACGCGAGTAGGTAAACCAGAAGTGGGGTTTGCACCCGGTACAGAGAGTCCATCTCATAAAGTCGCGCACAGCGAAGGGGAAAAAAGGCGCCAAGGGGAAAGACAATCGAGTGAAACAAAAAAGCGAAAGATGTCAATTTTTAAGCGAAAGTGTTTATCCGATTTGTTGTTCGTCGAACAGGTGAAACTAGAAAGTCGCCTTCGGAATCGGGTCCACGGATTTTTATCGGACAAGACAAGTTAGAAGGATGTATAAACCGTGATAAGTTGAGAAAAAAACGGAATTGCGTCTTTCGGTTTTAGTCTAGATTTTCATGTAGAATAGAGTTATCAGTATTTTATTTTATTTTATTATTATCAGAGTACTTTTTAAGTTCCATGCAGAAAGTCAACGTTTCTGCTGAACAGTCGCCCGAAACAAGTTGCATATTTTGAAGGACGAAGGATTTTGGAGAGAGAAACTAAGATGACGGACAAAATACTTACCACTTAATTTTCTGAGATGGATGTCGGTACATCTTTTATTTTGCAGTATTTTGGGCCAAAAACTCACTCAGTCCCACATGCACTCCATTTTCTCCCACCCCTCCCACTCCCATACCTTTGAGAATACCCTGCCCCCTGCTGGGCCTACTTAATATCTTACTCGTAAAACTGTTCGCGCTGTCCCTCAACCGTGTTCTATTATACTGGGCCCACAGTCCCACTGTCCGGTAGTCGACGAACACTCAGCGGCGGGGGGAACGGTGTCCAAAAATTTTTTTGGGGGCCCTCCGGGCCTAAGTTTGGTCTAAAAATAAGGGGGGGGGTGGCGGGGCTGGGCCACCCGGGCCCCTCGCCTGGATCCACCACTTCAAGTGCTCCGGCAGTTCCGCACTCCCGCAATCGCTGAAAAGTGAATATTGAGAGGATATACATATAAAAGTGCTCCCTCAGTCGATGTCAAGCAACTAGTGTGCTTATAGAACGAGGTATACTACTGCTCTCGCACTCCCGCAGGCGAAGTCAGAATTTATTATGCAAATCAGACGACTGCGGGAATGCGGGAGGAAATATTTAGTGCATGGGGGGGGGTGAGTATTCTGCAATCCCAGCCAATGATTGTTTGAACCTGTTCCTGTGAGTAGCTGACCATCGGAAAAAGAGTTGGGGAGAAATGAAAAGAAGGAAGGAAAAAAAAACTATTACAAAAAGGCTAACAAAAATAATACATAATAACCTGGGTAGCAGACGGAGAGGGATTCGCACACTGCATGACTCATCTTGAATTTTCTTTTTTGGCCAGCAAATGCAAGGAACAATTTATGCGCGCGCAGAAATTGGATCCATGGCAACAAATCCCGCTCAAACTAAGAAAATGGCGGATCAATGTTTTTGTGCAAAATGACAGCGTAGAAATTACGTGTATCATTCAAAGGGAAGTTGCTTTACTTCGGTGAAGCCTTGACAAGGGAACGTTAAGCTATATACTTAGCTGGAAATACATCGTAATGCCTCAGGGAAAGCTTCGTGGTGGAGGACTTCGTGGAGAAGTTCAGTCAACAGTGCGCGAGAGTTATGGAGGCAAAGCGGTGTCTTCTAACTTTAAAAGCCGTGTTGTTCATCCGAGAAATCCAAAGCTTGTTAAAGGAAGTGCCGAAGATGACAAGGTAAATGCCAAGTTATATATCATATGGACTTGATTGCGAATAGGACGCTAGATTGTATAAATGTAATCACTTATATAAACATTAAATAGATCAACAGCTGACTGCCGGCTGAAAGTCAGATCAGACCATGTAAATACATATAATTTAAAATTTAAAGTAGGCTCTCTCAACACAAATTATGTGGAGTTTTTCCGGGCTAATCTTTCTGTTTCGTGGTAATAATAACAAGGCATTTATTGCTAGTACAAGAATGATATTAATTCTAAAAACTTTCACAAAAATCTACAGCAAGCACCATCCGCTTACATGGCTGAAATGCAGTTGACCACTGATGAAAGGCTAAAGCTGACTTATGAGATGAGGGTGCCCCAGATTATTGAATTACTGGACATGTCAGAACAGACGCTTCAGAAGGTTAGACAAAAAAAAATTAAATCTACAACATTTAATAATACATGCTTGAGTGTCATTTTGGGAAACTGCATGACTAGGTACAAGAAGTCAAGGTTAGATTAGCTCATGCCAGCGATTTCTTTGCTTAGCTCTGGTTTAGATGCTTTAATTAAGCTGGATCACATTTATACAACTAAAGTTTATGTGAAGAATGGCGTCTGAATTAGCTTGAAATGTCTAATTGAATTTGCATCAACTATGCTGTGTTCTTCATTCTTGGTTTTGCTGGGGGCGATGGCTGTGGATTGCCATTGATTCAGATGCAGAGCTTCATTTGAGCCAAGCCAAATGTATAAAATTTTATATCAAATGTATTTTGATTGCATTCTGATTTTCCCCTTTGGATTGAGTTTGGCTGGAATAAAGATTACCATCTGAACCAAATAAGCCAACCAAAACTATTAATCTTATGTTGGCTAAATTTGACTTTGATTTTGATCTTGTAAAGTATGCTATTTGAAGTGGACCTTAGCTGTTTTTAGTGATGGAGTCAACTAGTATGCTGTTATGTTATAAAATTCCTAGAAATGCTGGGGACACCATTGCTGCTTATACCAATATTGCTATGGACCTGAAATCCATGAAAGAAATATTACATATTATTTTGTAAAGTGATCTTCTAATCTGAAACAAGGTCTAAATCACCGCCAGGTTATATGTAACTACTTTCTAATAACTGTGGTTAGTGGTGTGAACTGGTTTTGAACCAGTATGTTAAACTTTGTTTCTATTAAGCTAACCAGTACTTTACCTAATTATGTAATTATCATTTAGACAGCATATCTATAGTAATTGGATTTAAGATATGGTACAATGTATGTTTTGATTCTCTTGTTGAAAAGGTTTTCATTGTTTCATTATAGTATACTACCATGGACATAGAAGAACCTATATTTCAGCCATTTCCATCTGATATTGTGTTCCAAAATTTTGAACCATATCAGACCTATGAGGTTCCTTTACAGCTACGCAATAATGATAAAGTAAGTGCTTTATTTCAACCAATTTTTGTAAGCTATTGAATGAAAAATTGTACTTAACATGGTCTTTAATATAAAAAAATCCTAATTATAATTTAAAGACAAAGATTTTTTTATATATCTTGTACTAGGTTGCTCGTCTGGTGAAGGTAACTCAAACAGACTCTCCTTACTTCACAATCATCAGTCCACATGATGTGGGACATAAAGTGGCTCCTGGAATGGATAAAACCTTTGTCATCAGATTCAGCCCTGATGAGAAAAAGGTATGCACAAGACTTGCTTGCTGCCCAACAGAAAAACTCCCTGTTAACTATTGATAATTTCATTTAAATCATCATTTTTTTGGAGAGTAGAATCCTCGGAAATTATAATATTGCAACAAGGTCAAGTCATGTCCATGGCCAGACATGACCAGTGACAGAGCTACTAGGCGGGGTTCATGGGGTTCCAACTGCTCATGCACCACCTCCTCATGTTGCTACCCCAGATGTTTTTTTTCCACCTTTGCTAAAAACTTTGTATCTTAACATTTGCCCTATACCTGTTCATGTCTGTTTATGCTCTTCCAGGACTACACCCACGAGCTTATTTGCATCACTGAAAGAGAAAAGTTTCTTGTGCCAGTAAGAGCTATTGGGGCCAGAGCAATCCTTGATTTTCCTGATGAGGTCAACTTTGGAACATGTCCTGTCAAGGTAAAAAGGATGAATTTGAAATTTAATCCAGTTATGCACTGTACATCTATTTAGTTTGCTCATTCTATTGCCCTTGTGGGTGTTTGATCATGGCTTATCCTGTCGGAATAAAAACTATGTAAGAGCAGCTCTATGATATTACAAGGAGAAATGCGCTAATAATCACTATTAGGGGCTAAGAGGGTTAAAATCTTCTGGGACAGCTACACAAACTATTACAGGGCTTGAAAAAGCCTGGTCTGGTAGTGTGGGACAAGTAGATTTTCTTGCTGAGTAAGTAACTTTTAAGCCTACTTGCCCAATGGGCAATGGTCTTGGCAAGCCATCCTCTAAAGAAATCATTAACCCATTCGCTCCTGGAGATTTTGCCGAAAAACGCGTTTTGAAGCTAGTCGAGTGGTTTTCTGGTCACTGTCGTGCTATAAAGAGCTAAAACTTACCACAAACCGGTTTACAGGTCGTACACTTGGCGGCCTTCTGATCCAGATGCAAAATATCAGCTTGCGAAGTTCGGGCATGCGCAGAAAGCAAAATTTCGACATAGTTTTTGGGTTTAAAAGTGACACAGCAGTCTTGACTTTTACTTTTCGCTTTCTCTCCTCCCTTCTTTTTTCACTTTTCTTGCCTCATTTTTTTTTTCTCTTGCTGGGCATTTAGTAGGCTTCATTTTGGTGGGAAGAGTTTTTAGGAAAGCTTTTAGGATCTTAGGATTAGGTGAAAGGAAAGGTAGGTGGGTAATGGAACAAGATTTTCATGGAGATTTTCAGGTCCTTGTCACGTGGTTTTTTGCTTCTTTCTCCGGTGTCCTTGACTGAATTGTGCTCATTCTGGTATGGTTTGAAAGATCTCTTCACTCTGCACACGTGTGCGAAGAAAGTTGTCCTTGACCGTTAAAACTGATGACGTCACAAAAGGTAGAAAGGAACTGGATCCGCACGGGCGGTTACGGGCGGTTCAGGGGCGAATGGGTTAAATAGGAGGAGCAAGAAGTGCACTCAAGCAAGCAAAATTTGAGAGCTGCTTACCCAAAGGACAAGCTCGAGATCAAGCGTTTTTTTTTTCGAGCCCTATATTACTGACAGATTTGAAGCCCATGTGACTGTTAAGCTCAGTTTTTTCCATAGATGCCTCCATACAGCCGTACTTTTGGCACCTCTCAGGTATGGAAAAATCGTTTGGTGCCAAAGATGCCAAACTTCATGATGATGTCTAGATCTGCCTCCTGGATAATACAGACACCTCTGTTATGGAGACACCTGGCTCTGTTCCTTTCATGTCTCTATTAAGAAGGTTGACCGTATTGTTATGGTTCCATTAAAGTGTAATCTTAATTCATGATTTGATTGTCTTTTGCACCTAGTATGCAACAACGAGGACTCTCTTTGTACGAAATGTTGGAAACAGTGATGCAAAGTTCCAGCTTCTTGTCCATGAGCCATTCTTTGTTACACCTGACAGCGGTCGATTGGCTGTTGGAGAAAGCATGCAGATTCATGTGGATTTCAAAGCTCTTCAAACCGGAGATCATGCCAGTCACATGATACTTCATTATGAAACTGGTGAGTTAATGTTGTTCTGTACTTAGATGGTTATGCAGGAGTCTGTAGGTGTGGGTTCCAGATGCTTTTCCATTCTTTCCTTACATGTAGACAAGAAGCTTGGCTCCACTTTGTCCTTCTTCACTGTGGTGTATAAATTATTGGTACTTTTGACTTACTCTGGGCTGGTTTCTTTAAAGCTGGGTTAAGGTAACCCAGGGTTGGTGCAAAATGTGAATTCAGATAGGAAAGTTTAACAAACAAATCCAGTTAAAATTCTTTTGTCTACAATTTGATGATTTGATACCCTAAAAAGCGTAGAGATTGGTATAGGAGAAAATGCTTGTGAACTAAGGGAAAGGAAACCGGGATTAGAATTTAACCCTGGATTAACACTAATCATTTTTCAAACAACTGGGCCCTGTTTATAGATTCATGTAACAGTGTAATGAACTTGTATTTTCACATTTCTGTATAGACATTTGTTTTGATTAATGTGTTACAGGGGAAGATATCTTTATAAGTCTCTATGGAGCTGCTATTGATTACAACGTCAGACTGGATAAAAATACAGTCAAGATGGAAAACACTTTTATATCTTGTGCCTCTCAAAGGTATGTCATGTAATTTTCCCTCAAGTCATGTCTTTTTTTATCTTGCTCTCCTTGCTATCTTTCTCACTTTAATCAAAGCTACAGTTCAACTGCCATAGCTCTTTATTTGTGTGCAGTGTAAAATAATGAAAACATAGTGGTGCTGTTTTATTGGTAGTTTCTCAATGTTCAGATTGGTGCAGTTGAACCAAACGACATGTTATGAAAAGTTTAAAAGACAATGAACAATTCCCAACATTAAATAGTTTCTGCAACACCAAGAAACACCTGTTTCATCCTTGATTTAAATGTATCTCCCTTTGTTTTATCTTCATTATGAAATCAATAAGATTCATAAAAAACATGGAGGGATATAAAGAAGTTAATGGTTATTAAAATAAATTATGTTGATATTTAAATTACAGGACAGTCGCTATTTCTAACAGAAGTGACATTATTGTACAGTTCAAATGGAGCAACTTTGCAACACTAAGGGAAGAGCTTCAGCAAAAAGACAGGTAAGACTAGTATCTTGATATTTTTTATTCTGCATGTCATTCCTTATTTCGAATATTATTATTCCTGTGAAGATGAAATAATCGGGATGTCACGAGAGTGGGACAGAGAAAAAAATCTGAGTCCCTGACAGGATTCGAACCTATGACTTCCCAAACACTGGGCAGGTGTTCTATCCACTGAGGTACGGAGAACTCATGGAAAGCGAAGCCATATAGTCCTTCTACAATAATGCTGGAACAATTTTTTGGTTCATCTGTCTTTTATAGTCGACAAGAATGAGAGTCATGGTTATGTACTCGGCGTAGAGTGCACATACAGGTCACTTCAATTTCGTGTGTTGAAATTCAGATGGTATTGTTGAAGTTTGCAGAAGAGGGAAATACAAACCTCCACTTCTTCCCTCCTCCATCATTTTGAACAAAATGCAATGACCTTGTTATGATACAGATTTGTGCATTGATAAAAATTTCTGCATTGTTGTTTAACTCAGTTGTGGTCAGTTTTTTCTCATTAATAGTCAAATTCCGTAATAATTGCATGCTTGTTTCTTTTGGCATATTTTTTAAAGGTTTTACATGGACCTGGAAAGTGAAGAAACTGCTGAAAGAGATGAGTTTTTTGAAGAATGCCTGAATGATCCAACCCTTAGAGATCAGATGTCAATACTGACAAGAAAATTCAGGAACAAGTCTCAGGTAATGATAGAGAGAGGAAAACAAACAGGTGAACAAATGCATACCATGAGTGTTCTTTTTATAATGAAGTATTTTATTATAAGCTTTCCATATTTCACTTGATTTGGGCTCGAGCACTTTAGATAAAAATTTATTTCATTTTGAGTCACCTTTTCTATAGCAGGGGTATTTTGCAAAACCCCAAATGGCGGCTGAAAGTAAAATGACTCTTAAATTTAGTGATTAGGGCTAGCAAAGTGAGTTAATCAAGTTCCAGTTAAGGACATGATACAGGGTGAACTGAATCGGAACATTGATTCTCTCAGTTCTCTGAACCTAATCACTAATCCTCAGGGGGTGTTTAGCAACATTTGCTTTATTCAGAATACATGAATCTCCGATCTGTTGCCCTCCCCAACATTTGTCATCCTCACTCATTTATTCATCTGAGTGAAGAGAGACCATTTGTCCATTAAAACAATTTATAATGATCATTGTGCTTTCCTTGTTACAGGTTGTCGCTGATGACAAAATGCTTCATGGTGACTCCATTATCAGCATTGATCCAGTGGTAAGCTTGTTATACATTTACGTCACACATGACACTTTTATTGTGGCCTGTTGTGTTAACACACACACATCAATTTTGTTTCAATTGATGATCCTTTGTTACATGGCTATTGTAGAGGTTAGCTTCAGATTGTCTACTTACAGTCTGTGTGGTGATGCCTCAGAATAAAAGTCAAAGAAAGTAGTATCACCGTTTGCACCGCAAAATACCCCTGCAATGCAGGCAAAATAAACTGTGAAGTAGTAACAAACTGCAGTTATGTAATATTGTTGTTAATAAATGTGATAATTTGTTGATAAAGAGGAATGTTACTAACTACACAATCTTGCTTTGTTTTGTTTCAGGAAGGTGAAAT